CGTTGTTGCCCTTATGTTAATCTACATGAGCAACCATTACCTGTAACAGTATATATAAGTAACGATTCTCTCAGTACTGAGACTCCATGTAGGTCATGACTCCAACCGAGTCATATTCTCCAACAATACTTTATTGAATATCAAGTTATTAGACCCCTTTGGTCTTGCCTGTATGGGGACCCGGTAGATTTAAAGAGCTTTATGCATTCTCGTGTTTAAGTGGGTACCTTTGTAAGACAAACCGTCAAGCGAGTTGAGGCTTATAGCATCGCAATTTTTTTTTGTAATTTATGTAACCATTCTGGTATAGTAGCCGCATTCTTATGTTACAAAATATAACTCGTATATTGACCAGACCACGCACTAGAAAGTGAAGGGACGACAACGTTTCGGTCCGTCCTGGACCATTCACAAGTCGAGAATCGACTTGAGAATGGTCCAGGACGGACCGAAACGTCGTCGTCCCTTCACCTTCTAGTGTGTGGTCTGGTCAACATACTTTAGCCACGTTATTGTGATTCATCGCCTACATAACTCGTATATATTATTATTTAACTATCCCGTGCTCTCTCTTTTTCCCTTAAATAATGTTATTTCATGGTGAATTTTTTCCAGCAAGGAGACTGTTGAAACTATGTGAGAGATTACAGACCAAGGGGACTATTGAAGCTATGTGGGATTTTATAGAGTTAGGGGACTCTAGCAGCCTCGTGTAGCCTGTCGAGCCTCATTTATCGTCCGTCAAAATATTTTTGTGTTTTCGAGACAATTTCTTAGCTTATATTTAGCCGGTAGAAAAGCTCTTATTTTGAAACATTCCTAAGATACATGTGTATGTCCAGGATACATACATCTTGGTATATATATGTTACTAATTGTATAACCAATTATATCCAAAGCTTTTTAATTGTAGAAAATTAATCCATGTATGCAATATATATAATTAACCTAATATACTTCTTCAAATTATTTTTATGTCACCAAGGTTTAAAAAAGAACATATAGTCACTTCCAACATTTATTTGCAAAACATATTCCAAAAATTGTATACAAATTCATGTAAATTTCACACTTACACATATAAATTCGAAATTATTGTTATCATTTTACATAAGATAAATAAATAGAGGTTCAGTTTGAAAGTAATTCATACTACAGCGGCAACCAGAGCACTCCCAGGTAAGGGAAATAAAATTAATGGTCTGAAGTAAACATGGCGAAAAGACCGCAGTAAGATAATAATATTAAAAATGGTACTAACAAAATATAAGATAAATATTTTAAATAAATTATACAATAATTTTTATAACTGACTTTTGAAATCTTTCACTAGTCTTGTTATGTTCAACACAAATTAAATTTGATGATTTCCCATTAAGTTCTTGTGGTGGGCTTAAGCTAACACCTATACAAATTTAATAGATGCAAATCAGTAAAGAAAAAGTAAAAATTATGATTATGTAGTATATGAACATATTGGAAATCACCAGTAACATATACATAGGGATATCTTTTAAGAAGCAAATTAAAGTAACAATGAGCAACTCATGAGAAACATTCTAACGAAGAATGATATTCAGAAGGTAAACTTCTTTATTATAACCCGTAATTAATTAATAACTGATCATGAACAGAATATATACCGTAAAGTCTCTGTAATGGTATATTCACTGCGTTTACTTTAATCATTAAGTCTGTTAAAGTTTATTTGATGGTTAGAAGCAAGAAAGATTGAATTGCTTTGATGACCATTCTAGATGACAAACTTAATTCCCAGCAACCAACGACAATCTGCCCATAATATCAATGACTAGAAAAGCAATAGAGTGCTTGGTCTATGTTACTTTTGCGGGCGAAATAAATACAATGAGAATTTCTGTTGCACAACACATTATTGCAAATGAGTAAAGTAAATAGATCTTCAATATATTACAGTTGTGGAGATGACTTAAGCTGAACAGTGTTGCCAAATGGTTTGATGACTTGCAATTGTTACTTAACTCTTTATTTAATCTTATATTTATCATCGTAGTGAGTAACATCGATTTTTGTTTCTTATCGTTCAGGGGGATGTATAATAAAAGTAAATGCTATTGTCAAAATTCCTAACAACAAAGTCCGCAGGAAAAAACCTTATTAACCGGTTTATAATAATTTATGCGGTCAGAAACCTATACAAAAAATTTAGTCAGGAATCAATATATTGAAACACAACCTAGAAATATTTACTTTCGGCAAGGCTTTTCCTGTAAGTCTTCTTCAGCTTAAGTACAAGTGACTGTAAACTTAACGTAATGCCTTAGGTTAAGTTCTCATTCACCAAATAAACCCATGGAGCCCGTGGCACCAGTACGGAGCCCATGGCACCAGTACGGAGCCCATGGCACCACTACGGAGCCCATTACACCAGTACGGAGCCCATGGCACAAGTACGGAGCCCATGACACCAGTACGGAACCTATGGCACAAGTACGGCGCCCATGACACCAGTACGGAGCCCATGACACCAGTACGGCGCCCATGACACCAGTACGGAGCCCATGACACCAGTACGGAGCCCATGACACCAGTACGGCACCCATGACACCAGTACGGAGCCCATGACACCAGTACGGAGCCCATGACACCAGTACGGAGCCCATGACACCAGTACGGAGCCCATGACACCAGTACGGAGCCCATGACACCAGTACGGAGCCCATGACACCAGTACGGAGCCCATGACACCAGTACGGAGCCCATGACACCAGTACGGAGCCCATGGCACCAGTACGGAGCCCATGGCACCAGTACGGAGCCCATGACACCAGTACGGAACCTATGGCACAAGTGGGGAACCCATGACACCAGTACGGAGCCCATGGCACCAGTACGGAGCCCATGACACCAGTACGGAGCCCATGACACCAGTACGGAGCCCATGGCACCAGTACGGAGCCCATGACACCAGTACGGAGCCCATGACACCAGTACGGAGCCCATGACACCAGTACGGAGCCCATGGCACCAGTACGGAGCCCATGACACCAGTACGGAGCCCATGACACCAGTACGGAACCTATGGCACAAGTGGGGAACCCATGGCACCAGTACGGAGCCCATGACACCAGTACGGAGCCCATGGCACCAGTACGGAGCCCATGGCACCAGTACGGAGCCCATGACACCAGTACGGAACCTATGGCACAAGTGGGGAACCCATGGCACCAGTAGGGCCGCTATTCACGGAAAACGTTCCTCCTATAACACTAAATACCAAATTATCACGTCTTGAAGCTTTGATGACCGTGGAGAGAGGTTTGGCAATCTCTTAATAAACAGAACGTTCTCTATGTTTCGAGTTGATGACTCACTCATCACATCTTATTCATCCATTTTCTTATTCGTATTTTACTAAACTTCAATAATTCATTATTGACATGATTGTTATAACAGGTCGAGCTCGTCCCAATATTTGTTCAGATTGCCTTACCGAACCCATAGAATAATGCCTAGTTATATTACAGCACCACAACAGCCTATTTTAATGCACACGCACGCACGCATGCACGCGCGCGAAAGGCAAATTTTTGCAAAGTCCTGAGAGAACACTTGATATTAATTAACAGAAATATGAGTTGATTCAACCCTGGTCGAATGTATACAAATGGACTGCTGCAGCCACCAATGTTCACGATTTGTTCTAATTTTGATGAAGGCACGAAAAATGGCCAAAAACTGAATGTAAACATTCAAAGGCTTAGCATAGCACAGGTATGTGCTATATTAGCCCAACGGTACCGTAATTAGGCTAAGGCTTGCATGGGGAGGTTACATTAGGTTATTTAGTTTTTAAATATTTTAGAATGTCACTTAGGCTAATACATTATACAAAACGCGAACTTTTTGGGGTCCAACAGTTCATGTTCTCTGTTTAACCAATTAATTGTTATAAGTACTATCATTTTAGAAGGGCGGGCTGGATTTTTTTAATTAAACTTTTCTAGTACTGCAGTCACCCATAATAGTTCCAGTTTCTTTGATATTAAAGTAAATACAAAATTCAGAGTTTGGATAATATGTCAGTTCATTATCAAAGGAATTTAAAAATTTGCCTCTTGCGTCAGACCTTACAGGCTAATGGGAACCAACGCTCCCCATTAAATAAAAACATTTGTTGGAGGTGGTAGCCTCTCATAAAAGACCTTAAATAATGGGGAGAAGAATGCTTCGTAATGAAAGACCATTTTCATGGAGTGGAGAAGGGCAAATTTCCCCTGAAAGAGCTAAAGCATGAAAGAAGCAGTCAGCTCCCCTGAAAGACCTTAACTTAATAAGGGAGTACATGTCTACCCTTGTGAAAGACCTTAAATTACGAGAGAGGCTGAGCGCCTCTCCTGAAAGACACGGTAGTCCAGCGCTGAGCGAACAATACTAGCGGCGAGTGAGATCCGTCGTTTGCAAATGTCTTAATTGGTGGCCAACCGTAGCATTAAGTTTCCAGAAGGCTGTCAGGAAATATGTCAGCAATGCATGCTCAACAACACACATTAAAAATTTGAATGGCAATTTTAATCAAAGATTAGCAAGCTTGGACTAAATTGCCAATTTATATTGATTTTAGTAAAGTATTTTGTTTTGAAAGTCAGTGAGACAGTATAGTCAGTCCGCAGTAACTAGTCTTCACACACCGAGCAAAGTATATATAAATTCCTTGCTCAATAAATTACATCGTAGTGAAAGACAACGGGCAGTGAGCTAACACACGCACCTCCTAAAAAGTCTTATTCAAAATACAACTTCATAAAATGGAAGTTATTACAAACACAATCCTGAAATCGTAAACATTAATATTTTTTTACCATTTAGGTGCTGATAACAAAAAGTGACATGATGACCAGACCACACACTAGAAGGTGAAAGGACGACGACGTTTCGGTCCGTCCTGGACCATTCTCAAGTCTTGAGAATGACTTGACTTGAGGACTTGAGAATGGTCCAGGACGGACCGAAACGTCGTCGTCCCTTCACCTTCTAGTGTGTGGTCTGGTCATCATACTTTAGCCACGTTATTGTGACTCATCGCCTGCAAAAAGTGACATTTCAGGTCATGTGGAGTTGAACATAGTGATGGGTGCATATGATTGATACAATAAGCTGCATATTGACCAAGTACACCTTAAGGCATTAACTGCATGGTGACCTAATTCCAAAAATATTTGGTTACAAAACTGGTCTAGGTGATACACTGTACCAGTCTCCTGTACTTTGATGTGCGCCTGTGCAATGACCAGTTATTTCTTCCCTATTGAAGCACTGTCTTACAGAGGCACCTCTTAGGCCTTACCTTACATCAACAAAGTCTGGCAACACTTCTTAAGCCTACTGTGCTCGGTATTTGTTCAGAGTTTGTTTACTTCTTTAGAGGTTGACCAGAAATCGTGAGGTTGGAGTAAAATCCACCACTGAGGGAAGATGCAGATCTTGATGTTGCTCAGGAGCGGTGGATGAAGGAGGTGACGCAGACGACGAGAACCATCACCTCCTGGGACGCCCGAGATGGTAGCATTACACCGCCGAGGAACACGCTAAGCAACATCGACCTCTTGGCACTCCCACTCTACGCGGAAACAGGAATAAACGTCTTCCTCGTGCTTCAAGTGATGCATAATGCAAGGACCATAGTTTGAGTCGCCCTCACCGTAAAGCAATAAAAAATATCAATGAAATGAGGGTGCTGTGGTCTTCCACTGGATCAGCGGAGTTTGTTAAGGAGACGCCACCAGACGAGGCAAAGCAAGGAGGCTGTCAGGCACCTGGTGAGGGCTCCGGGCACTACAAGGTTCAGAGGAGCCACTTTACTTCTCTTGGCAGCAACCTGAAAATCAACATTTTATTTAGTATACTTGTCAACATAATAGTTTACTAAATAGATGTAAATCATGTATATATATATGTCGTACTTAATAGCCAGAACGCACTTCTCAGTCTACTACGCAAGGCCCGATTTGCCTAATAAGCCAAGTTTTCCTGAATTAATATATTTTCTCAAATTTTTTTCTTATGAAATGATAAAGCTACCCATTTCATTATGTATGAGGTCAATTTTTTTTATTGGAGTTAAAATTAACGTAGATATATCATCGAACCTAACCAACCCTACCTAACCTAACCTAACCTATCTTTATAGGTTAGGTTAGGTTAGGTAGCCGAAAAAGTTAGGTTAGGTCAGGTTAGGTAGGTTAGGTAGTCGAAAAAAAATTAATTCATGAAAACTTGGCTTATTAGGCAAATTGGGCCTTGAATAGTAGGCTGAGAAGTGCGTTCTGGCTACTAGGTACGACATATATATATATATATATATATATTAGGGGTACCACCTCTGGTGCAATTGCAGGGACCCACATCCTTGAAGAAGAAAACAAAGAGCATTCAGAGAAGATCTTGTGGATTCTCACTGAATACTTTATTCTTTTCCTCTCCTACCACCCCTATTATTTTTTTGTATGGTTTGTATGTTTGTGTATGTATGTTTGTTCAATATATATATATATATATATATATATATATATATATATATATATATATATATATATATATATATATATATATATATATATATATATATATATATATATATGACAATGTCAGACCACGGAGGAAAATGAAACAGGAATTTCCTTAAGTACTTTCGTATATTAAATACATCTTCAGAAGGAATGAATTCATTTTCCTCCGTGGTCTGACATTGTCACATTTTTAATCACGTGTTTATTTTCGTGATATACACACACACACACACACACATATATATATATATATATATATATATATATATATATATATATATATATATATATATATATATATATATATATATATATATATATATATGCAATATATATATATATATATATATATATATATATATATAACATATATATATATATATATATGCAACAATTATCACAAAAACGCTGATCCAAATATGCGGAAAAACCACATTTGAAAAATAGGGAATGCTTAACGCGTTTTCGGCTAATTCGCCTACATTAGAGCAAAGTAGAATGAAGAGAGAGATATATATTCAAAATAGAATATGTAAGAGAGAGAGAGAGGGAGAGTTTTCTACAGCTACAGTAATAAAAATTTAAGACTGAAAATTTGTGAAAAATGTTTGGACGAGCAGAAGTATAGTTGATGGAGTGTGTTTAGACAACTGATGTTGCCTGAGAAAAGTCGCAAGGGAACCTGGTTGTTATTGTCAAGTAAATATTTTTGAAATATTACACACAGGCCTCACAGGTTCATTGAGAATAATCGCGATATGTTATTTTAAACAATAATTATTAAAATATTGTGTTGTGAATATGACATTAAAATATTTAAACACGATTGTCCTTCAACTGGATAAATGTTGAATAAAAACATTAGTTGTTGCAGGTAACAGCGGTGGTGTTGCTCTTGCATGTTCTAATTGTTTTTTTAATAATGTAATTATTTTCGTTAAAATATAGTGATATTGGATATGTAGAATGAAAGTTTAACTTAATTAAGCGTCCATCAACCAACAAAAATCACGGTAGAGTTGTTTTCTTTAAAAACTTACTGAGAGTCGCACCCCAACTTGTGAACCTGCAAGCAGTGCAGACCTATTAGCTAGTTGCTACATAGCCTTCCCGGCCTGCTGCCTTCTTTTGATAATTACTTACTAGTTGGCCTGTAGGCCTTAATAACTTTTCCACGGTTGACGGCCTTTAACCCCATCACATAATTGTTTTCCTATATGTATAAATATAATTTATTTTAACTAAATGTACAATCAATCGTGTGCAATATTTTTATAACAACAAATCGGAAGGCACCACTCAGGTTGTTGCTCGGATATCGTAGCATTAAATCCTGCTATCATTTAGCAACGATAGCAATTTAATATCATCAGCTGTCTGACAAACAGTCATTTGCCGTCCAGGTGACCATCATGAGCCAAAGGTGTAACAAGCGCACGTGGGCCTCGTTACCATATTATAATTATGAGATTAACTGCCGATTATCCCTGCATGGCTCGATGACCTCAATAATCTCCTGCTCGCCAGTTGGCATCAGTGTGACGTCATATGGCCAGCGCAAAAGATCGATACATTTCATTACCCTCAAACCATAAATATATTTTCAATGAAAGTAAACTGAATGTAATGCTATTAAATTATATAATTGTAATATTTTGTATAAACAAGATCAATTTATAAACGAATTATCTATTTAACAAATTCTTGCATTTAATAATTAAAATAACACCAAGAGCATCAGTTAAAGTTTACTTTAGTTTGTCTCCTGCATGTATAGTTTGTGAGTGTTTGTTATTGTGTTTAAAAGGTTTTCCCGTGGTTGATGCCTCACGCTAGTGTAAAGTAACTGTTGGATAGCCCCATACTACTGCCATCAGCTTCGCTACTGTCTCGGTCGACCTCACTGACGCCATCGCCTGACGCTTCGGCCTCCAGTAATAACAATAGGTGAGACATAATTAATGAGATGAAGTCATTAGCGGGACGGAGTGGAAGCCACGTGCACGCACGTGGCCCTCTTCCGTGCCACCTTTACTGGGGGAAGAGGGGACTTTACTGGAGGGGAGCTATCATACAGCTGAGAGAGGGGGAGCTTGTTTGGTAAATGGGAGTTTACCTTGCTGGGGTGAAATGACAGATAATCTAAATTGGGGAAGAGAAAGATTGTCTTACTAAATGAAAGAAAGTATTTTGTCTTATTAGAAGAGAAGGAAGATATTGGGGGGTAGAAGGATTTATATAGGAATGAAGGGAAGGAAGTCGCCACAAGTTAGAGCGGAAGAGACAACAGGAGATTCGTCTAAATGTTTACGTAATCCGTACATTGTAACTAGAACATTTGGAGTGTATATTTTCTTTTTACTGACATATTTACGTACATCAGCATTTATGCAGTTCCCCAAGAATATATGATTTTTTATTATTATATTTAAACTATATGAAGGCTGAGAAACAGCACAAGTTTATGGTTTTACTGTATCGAGAACGCATAATTCTCTACTATTCCACCTAATATTCACAAGCTGACGCTTATTATTCATAGAAGCGAACACTATCCACGCTTAACTTTCGAGGAGAGATAGCAGCTCGTTCTCTCAAATCGCCGCTTCATAAAAAACGCGACTGTTTTGCTTAATCTGAAACTCCTGGTATCTGGCGAGAAGTTTCTCTCGAAGTATTCACATGTAAGCAGGTTGGTCATATCTGGTTAGGGGTATCACGGGTGACCACTTAGTTCAAGTCATCTGGATTGGTGAAAATGAAAGGGGGAGGCGATGAGTCACAATAACGTGGCTGAAGTATGTTGACCAATCCACACACTAGAAAATGAAGGGACGACGACGTTTCGGTCCGTCCTGGACCATTCTCAAGTCGATTGTGAATGGTCGACTTGAGAATGGTCCAGGACGGACCGAAACGTCGTCGTCCCTTCACTTTCTAGTGTGTGGTCTGGTCAACATGAAAGGGGGAAGTTTACCTAGCACAGAGAGGTAGTCACCTGGGGTCTGGGGGGAGAGAGCAATTTACCCAGAGGTGAGGCAATAATTGAGGGCAGTTTACCTGTTGTGTCAGGTGAGAGGTAAGTAGATATTTCCGCACCGTTTTTCCGCTCTCCCCTCACTGTGTAGTTACACCCCTCTTCCCCCTCTCATATTTCTCCCCTCGCCCGACCTCTCTATTCTCCGTTAACGAATAAACTTTAAATCTTTCACGTCTCAAAGTGCACACACTCTTTTTTATTAATTATTATTTCTTTTGTTAGGAGCGTTTATTGCCTTTTCCATCCCCCTATCCACACTTTCTCTCCATTTTCAGCTTGTCGCAACTTCCCCTCTTCTCTACTGCCACACGCCCCATGTATGATAAACTAGAGGATCCTAAACAAGTAGTCTCATTTGAAATTAATTATCGGTTTCCCCTCAGTGTCTACCCCTTACGTCCCCTCGCCTCCCTCCCCCTACACTCACATCATGGGAGAGGCAGATGGTGTTCCCGCAGACGCGACAGAGACTGAGGGGAAATTCTGAACACTCACGGGAAGCGAGTGAAATGATTGGGAAAATATATGAAATATTAAAGAGAGAGAGAGAGGGGTGGTTATATCGATGGAAATGACACTTTGACTTCCCCCAATGCAATGTTAGCTTTTATATCAGCTAATTAGTTAACTAGCGCAGGAGAATTGGGCTTTTAAGAAGCAAACCAATATTAGGTTGCTAAGCTGGTCCCGCGTCTTACCTTGGCAGTGTTGAGTTCGAAGTGGTCAGCGATCTTGCGAAGCTCTCTTCCTGCTTTCCTCCACCGACCTTGTTCCTCCGTCTCTTCCTGTGAGTGTTCTCCATCCACTGCATCATCCCGGACACTCTCCCCCTCTCTTGGAAGACGGTAGCAGAGGTTCCGGTGGGGCCGTGGAGACGGCCAAGAAAGCTGGGGAAGAGTGTGGTTTTGGTAGGATTGGGGCTCGTCGCTCTGTATTCTGTGCCGTACCTTCCGGATGCGTTTCAGTCCCATTCTGACGCTTTCCTCCAAGCTGGTGAGGTTTCCGACGGAGATGGAGCGAGCTTGGGAGTTCCTGCGGACCCCAAGTGTGGTGGTGGAGGGCACTGCTTGGGGCATGTCGAGGGTGGGCGTGGGGAGGGCATGAGTGAGCTTTTCAGGGAAGAAGGAGAGGTATGACTGTGATCGTCGCAGAGGCGAAGGTTGCGGTGTGTGGCTGAGTATGACGTCAGGCAGAGGCGCTGGCAACCCTGTGAAAATTAGTGCAGCGTTAGACACTCAAGTTAGTTCATCAGAACATGTTAGTTCATGTGGCCAGGGTTGTTAGTTCATGTATCCAGGCTTGCTAGCTCATGTGGGAGATACTGAATAGTGTCTCCCACTTAGTAACTCCCTGTGTTTTGTTTCTTGATGCTTCCAAGGCAATTTACAAAATTTTAAAACAGGAATCTTCTTGGAAAATTTATTAGCGGAAAAGTATGTTTTTTTACTACTATAAATAATAATAAAAATAATTAAATTAATAAAATATACATAAGAACACATAAAAAGTGGTATATTTATAGGCACAGTGATCGTAACATTAAATAAAGCCACTAATACGCAAAACGGTTCTTATTAGGTCTACAACGTAGCTAAGAAGTAGAATAAAGGCCTCTGTAAATGCATTAAAAAAAAGATAAAACTGAAAGCTTATTTGCCCTCTTTCTTGATCCACTATGAATGAATTAAGGACTGGCTGTCGCATAGCTGTCCGTTCTTTCGAGTGTTCACAAAATCACTAAAAATATGAACTAACAGAATTCATGATTCTGTATGTTTCCCGAGGAAGCACACTGAATCCACTCATATATTTCGAAAAGCATTTATACAATACTGTATTAGGCCTCAAAGGGTCCACTTGCATATTTTTGTGATGCTGTCAGAGATTTGAAAAGTCAATGTAAATGTCATACTGAGTAAATTTGTTCATAACAACACTCGGTCTAAAGTATCATTATTTAACAGTGTCTCAGTACGGTTGTAACCTAATAGAACAGCGAAATGGTGACTTTGGTAAGTTAAATTGTGTATTGAGGAAATGTTCATATCTTAAGGGTACACCCTCGCATTTATAACACTATGCTGCGTGGCCTGATGTTTGTACCAACAGTTGAAGAAATTATACGCAAATTAATATAATTTTGTAAGAGAGTTACACATTCAACAAACACAACCTCTTCTTTCAACATTTGCTTATCCCCACCAACTATATATTTGCAAGATATATTACCCTGATTAAGTAAGACTTACATCTCAACGTCAACGATTAGTCGTTGAGATGTAATTCTCGTTCTAACCACATAGGCTAGTGGTTAGGCTTTGTCAAAGCCTACTCAGACTCGACAAAGCACTCAGGAGAGTGCGAAAGACTTTAGCACTAGACTTTTTTTTTAGAAAGAAAAAATCACAAACGCATATGTGTGGGTTTTTCCTATATTAACCGGATATATATACACCGATAAGTGTCATCCAGTTTTCGGTGTATAGGAGTTTACTTTCACCCTGGACTAAAGTATACTTGATGGTTGGTCAGTAAGTTATTGCGTTGCCTTAATAACCCGCCATAGGTTGATAGCCGTTAAGCCCAACTCAAAACCAAAGTGTAACTTAATAAATTTAGTGTAGCATAATAAATCAGCTTATCAGCAGGGATAACGCAACTGGATATTCTATATTATTAAAGAATTACTGTCGCAAGGAGAAGGTTTGTTGACAAGTAATTTAACGCATCTTAAGAGGTCTTTGATATATGAGCTGGATTTAGGATGAATCTGCTTACGATGAAGAACTTCTATTCACATAAACATCTTATAGTTATATTTATTGTACTGATGTTGTTAAAGATTCGCTACCTGGAACAAAAAGTTCCAAGTAACACGGGCTACGGTGAGCCCGTGGATAGTTGTTGTTGTACTTTATCTACGCTTATGTGTTCACTGTTTCATATTATTTTAATATTACTGTAAATTTATGTTATATCTGATCTACAAATTCATGTCACATTTAGGCATTTTTTTTAGTGTACTCTAATTTTAGATGTATGGTTTTGGTATTTATATACTTAAAGTTTACTTTAACACTGAGGATGAAGTATAGTTACTGATTGGTCAGCAACAAGCGTTACGGTGTAAATAATTTTACAGAATTTGACAGGCCTTAAACTAAACACTAAACCATCTTTACTATGAACATTACTTTTGTTCCTCTCAAATTGTAGCCAAACCCAGTGTATATTTATTTCAAATTATTTATTAAATAGCAATATTTTACGTCTGTACACTTATATAACACAGCCAGAGCTGCAGTGATTTGTGTAAACTTGTTACTGACAAAACATCTAATCTAATCTTATCTTCGAGAGAAAAAAGAAAGACTGGGAAATTGGGGGGGAGTGCGGGTGCCGACACCAGATAAACCTTCCATCTTCAAATCATATATTACTCGCGTTGTATAATGTTCAAGAGCCTATTTCCTCTCACATTTCATGGCGTTCAGAGTGGCACTCTAACTTCATTTTGACGTGAGCTTGGTTTATAGGCTATTACGATAAAGAAAGGACACACGAATGTATTGAGACGTGCATATTCACGGACACACGGGTGGAGGCTACGACAAACACGGACACACGGGTGGAGGCCAAAATATAGACATTAAACACAGGAAAAAAATACTTGAACTTAGCAAATTATCGAATGTTTAGTGATTTAACAAACTAACAGATCAATAATAACTAAATAACAGTCTGTCCGCTAAGCTACAGAATTCTGACATCGTTTAATAAAGTTCAACTAAACTTTACACGTCGTCCCCAAATGGTCCAAGGTAGATCGTAGACTTTTATGAAATTCATAGGCTTTACAAGGTCCATATAACCGATGGTTGTTTGTGATTCATGTTATTCACCGGGGCAGCGAAGAGTAAGTCAACTAATAATGAATAAATAATTTTTTAGAGACTGGACATTCACGTTTATGAACTAAATGTACTTACGAATCCCCTTGTTATCGTAGCTCACCAGCCAATGCAGCCAGGATGTAATTAATTTTCGATAAGCGTATATAGTTCCCCTATAGTCTGGACGAGAAGGCTGTTAAGTATATTGATAACACAGGTTAACAAACCGACCTTCCCCAAGACGCAACCCTTACCAGTACATAGCTTCCAGATGTAGAGAGTGCTATACCGTGTACTGGTGCTAGAGGAAATGTTATACCGTGTACTGGGGCTAAAGCGAGTGCTATACCGTGTACTGGTGCTAGAGTAAGTGCTATACCGTGTACTGGGGCTAGAGTGAGTGCTATACCGTGTACTGGGGCTAGAGTAAGTGCTATACCGTGTACTGGGGCTAGAGGAAGTGCTATACCGTGTACTGGGGCTAGATTGAGTGCTATATCGTGTACTGGGGCTAGAGTGAGTGCTATACCGTGTACTGGGAAGTCGCTAATGTTGTACGTGGCGCAAATAAATTCATTATCTCTCATCAACAAACCTGCAAAAACTGATTCATCGCCACAATACCAGGAAGAGGTGGCTATCACAGCATTGCAATACTGACACACTTGTCACGCTGAGATTGCCTAGTCATATCCGACTAAAAATAGGTTTCCCATACATGCAATTTTGCAATTCGCGAAATAAATCATTGATCGTGACTCACATACGACCGGATGTTGATCGTGGGCGATGTAAACCGTATAGGTAAACTCACAAGAAATGCTTGACGTGTATACTCTTGATTATATTGTAAACTCGGTTTATTAGTGATAGCCCGTTTTCTTGATTTGCCACAACGTACACTATACAATGTACTATCTTAACTAGAAACATACGAACCCAAGCAACCCACCTAACCTAATCGTGTACGATACATAGATAACGTAGATGTTTGTGAGCCGCTAATTTTTCTTATTAGCTAAGCAATTTCTGCCGTTGGTTACCACAACGTAAAAAACGCGACCTATTAGTTGAGAGAGCGAGTTGCAAATGGTTGCTCAGAAGTGGAGAACACAGGAATATACGTCGGCTTGATCAAAAGTTTTACACAAGTTCAGGATTTCACAGGAATATATCCTGTGAAATTATATAATTTCTATGTTATATATTTTATAATATATATATTTTAAGTACATAATATATTCATAATTATATAATTATGTAATTATATAATTATAATATAAAATTATATAATATAATATATAATTTCTCTGCTTGTATTCACAAGAATACAAGCAGAGGGCGTTAAAGTAGCTTTACATTACAGTAACTGCAGGATTTTGATGCACGATAGACTGAAAATATTAAGACTGGCGAAGGAGTGCTTGACGCACTAGACGGGTGCATTTACTGCTAGGTGAACAGGGGCATCAGGGGTGTAAGAACCTCTGCCCAGGTTGGCAACAGTTATGAACCGAATACTGTAATGTTGATTTACAGCTCTACCAGATGCTGTCTCACTTATCTGTAACTGTAATTAGACGAATCACTTGTGACATGCGCCCAAGTTGGTAGAAGTGTATGTATGTGCATATGTTATCAAGTATGTGTGAATATATGTAGGTATTTTTAAATATATGTAGGCATACTGTAAGTATACTGAAAGTAAATAGGCATACTGTACGTAAATAGTAATGCTGTACATATTTAATAATACATCTTCAGAAGGATCCTTCTGAAGATGTATTATTAAATACGAAAGTACTTAAGGAAATTCCTATCTTAATCCTTCTTTCGTGGTCTGACACTCACATAGTTCATCACCCCGTACCAGATAGAGCATTTTGCTTAACATACAATAGATAAACACTAATCATAGCTTCCGTGCTGAAATTCTGATTTAATCTAGCAAATTTCTATCATAAAACAGCTGGCGTTTGAGACACACTTCTCTTGGTGTAATGTTGTTGAGATGTGATCAGAGTGACTCATAAGTCCTCTATGAGTGCGTAACTGAAGCTCCGCTATGAGTGCGTAACTGAAGCTACGCTATGAGTGCGTAACTGAAGCTGCGTCAAGAGTGTGTTATTGAGTTACCTCACGAATGCGTCACAAAACAGTATCTAAAGTGTGCTACTAAATTGTGTCGAGAGCACGCAACTAAGTTGCGTCAGGAGTGCGTCACTAAGCTACGTCAAGATTGCGTAACTGAACCGCGTCAAGAGTGCTAAATAATGTACAGGTTAGGGTGTGGTAACTACGTCACGTGAGATGCGCAGAAACATTTGCGCAACGCATTTGTTTTGCGCACATCAAAAACATTTGCGCACCTGCGAAATGTTACTTTACGTCTCAGTAATAATAATAATAATTATAATTATTATTATTATTAAATAGCTACATCGTCATCTCTTGCATATATATACATCAGATTCAAGTCATGATCTTAATTTTGTTCCTACATTTAATCTCAAGGTTGATTCACGGAAACATTAACATTGACCAATTTGATGCTTATCTCAATTAGAGAAACACTGGGAAAACTATTGATGGTCAAGTCTGCTTGATGCACAGTGATTAACAAACGGTCTGCAAGGTGTACAGTTATTGACAAACAAGTCTGCACGTTTACAGCTATTAGTAAACAAGCTTGAAAAATGCAGAGTTATAAACAAAAGGTCTGCAAGGTGCACAGTTATTGACAAACAAGCCCTCAAGGGACACATTTAGAGGTTGATTACATCACCTTTGGAGAGGTGAATGACCTGAAGTGCTAGAGTTCAATTTGACTAAACAATCAGGGTGAGATATAATATGTTCACATCCAGTACAGCAAATTATATAGCCTCACACTCTGAGTTAAAACATCCATTGAAACAGATCGTATTTAGTTTTCCACATTAAAGGGAAATTATACCTCCAAGACTTATTACATTATCAAGGATTTCTTACTGCTGGGAACATAATAAATTAAACATAGGTAAAAATAAATATAACAAAATCCTACCATGAACGAGACGCAGAAACACATTACGTCTAACTTGATTTATTTAGTAACACAGTCGTTGTAACACTTAAAATAGTCTTCAGTACTTTGTTGAATATAATAAATGTCAGAATTTTAATAACTAATCATATATTTGCCACTTAGACTTTAGTCTAAGTTTAATAGACAACGGTTTAACGTCTATCAAACTACTTAGAGTTATTAAGGCCGCCACAATAGCCTACTGACCATCCAGCAAGTACACTATAACCCTAGGCATTAATTATCCAGGACTATAAACACTCATTGTATATATAAAGATAAATGGGTGACACTTTTTAATGTATATATCACCTAGCTATATACTGTAGTCTTCTGTAGAGCCGTTAAGATACTACCTTACAAATGGTAATGTGTTATTACTAATTTATATAATTATATATTAAACACTTTATTTACATAATGATCAATAGCTAAAATAGCAATATTATATATAAACTAAAAATAATTATTTTTGCTGAAATATTTGATGAAACGATGACTGCTGCATACTGGAGCGTCTCACTATGAGGCTCTTGCAGTTGCACAGAGCCAGACAAGCTGCAACACGCCTCCACATGTGCAACAAGGCAACGCCCCCAGCCGTCTGCTCGCTCAGACATGCATATATTGACACTCGACCTGTCTTCACACTCTTACTATTTGATAAATATTGAAGCAGCTTAATGAACTATCTTATTTTCATAAAGGACTGTACGTAACTATAGTTAAAATTAGTTATATATGAATTGATATTTTTAATGTAAATGCTAAACATCTCATTACTTATTTACATCTGTTTCTTGTATAATGTTTATACTGTAATATTCTATGGTAGTCACCCATATAGCTTCAATCCAACACCTGTAACTACACCTGTCATTGGGCAGTTGGGAGGTCAAAATATAGGTCAAACAGACCTAAGCATTGGACATAAAATCACTCACACAAATAAAATTTATATACGTTTGATATTTTAGCAGACGCTATGTAATACACTTCAGGTCAACTAATAAACAGATGGTTCACTAACCTCTTGGTCTCTGGATGTTTCGTGAATTCATTTCTGCAGTGGAAAAGCACAAGTCGTCACAGGTAAAGTCACTGTCAATCATGTCACTGGTGTAGCCAAACGGCATCGCACAAGCACGTAGCAGAACACTGACCATATTTCTCTGAAGAAAAAAATATACATATGTTGATGTCCCTCCAGATGTTCAACTGGTAGCCTCCACAGGGGCACTGAGCGAGGAGAGATGCTCCGGTTACAGGTCCCAGCATCGACTGAGAGAGTGACAAGTGCGCGCGCATATACTGGCCAATCAGCGGCCTCCTGTCCCTTGCACCCCACTTTACAGCAAATAATATGTTTTATATATTATTTTACCATACGAGCCAACATCGTTTCAAACGTTTTAAAGAAATATCATAATGCGGTATTATGTTTTAATGTAAGGATATTAAAGTGGAAATAAACATGCATTTTATCTTGTAAATTGTAAATATTTTATACTTCCCTCGTGAGGCAGCACCATAGAATAGGGCGGCGCCTATGGCCTTCTGAGTGGCGACCAATCAGGAAACAGCAGGCGCACGTGTTGCGGATTTGGCGCGCAAGCTGGTAAACAAACATCGTGGGACCAAACAAGGAAGAAAAGACTATCAATCCTACAGGTTACTTATGAAGAATTCATGTACTCTGACATTTAGTGAAGTTGATGTTTTCAATCCAGTAAATAAATACCTGTTTATACGCGTTTTCGTCAATTATACGGTGTTTTGGAGCTAAGGCTATGGGTAGCTAGGTGTTTGTAACAGAAGCTGAGAGTTGGGGCTGAGGGATGTATGACTCAGTGGCGACTCCGGACAGGCGCCAGGGATTTAGCCCGAACATTCTTCTCGTGTTTCCTGGCAGCTAAAGAGACGTGTGAAACTTACACTTTGTTTATTGTGTGTTTGGATGTGCTTGTGTGGGGAGTGATGGAGTTGGGGTGTTTGTGTGTGTGTGTATATGCCTAGTTGTGCTTGAGAAGGTTGAGCTTCGGCTCTTTGGTCCCGCCTCTCAACTGTCAATTAACTGAGTACAGGTTCCTGAGAACTGAAGGAAGAACTGAACTGTATGGAAGACTGTATGTATGACTCCATACACAGTTGAAACTGTGTATGGAGTCAGCCTCCACCACATCAATGCCTAATGCATTCTATTTGTTAACTACCCGGACACTGTGAGGGGGAGGTGTCTGTAACGGGTGTTTGTGTATGTGTGTGTTTGTAGGGCCCATAAGAAACGACTATATGTGCCTGGCGCTAGAGGTATAAAAACACATTTGCTATACTTGAATTTTGTTTAACCTATTATTTTAAAATACCTATGTTGCGAATATAGCATTCTTGCTGGTTCTATAGACCAGCAATATTATTTGTATATTACAACATTTCACCAATATTCTAGATTTATGCAAAAGCAATAATATAGAGATTACGTGATTTTCGTGCAATAGTCGTATCACTACAGCTTTGGAATGCTGCAGAGCTTTTCCAGCTCAGATGCTGGCTGAGCATCGTAAGGCGTTGGTTTACTAACACGGTGAATTTGCTTGGCTAGTTGGGCTTCACAATCAGCGACGTATGGGAGATCATTAAGCCAAAGTGCTTCTGTTGATTTAGACATATGACCATTTAAACTATAAAGCCCTCCACGACTGGGTTTGGTGTTAGGCTTAAGGCCTATCAACTTCTGGAGCTATATTAATGCTACATAATGGTTATTGACCAACCAACAAGTATAGTTAAAGACACCAAATGTGTTCAGTCGCTTCACGACTTGTCTGGTGTTGAGTTTAAAGCCTATCACCCTGTGGAGGATAATGAAGACAATAATAACTTACCAACAAATTAGTAGTAAATACATTATTCCTAAACATAGTCCAGAACTTATTTAAACTCTCATGTGATTGTAACTATTACGTAGATAGCCGAGTTTAGTTTTGATTTAGTTTCATATCTCACAAGCAGTATCAGGGGGCTGCAGACTGATGCTTGTCTAATGTATTCACCTCCGTACTAAAAAGACATCCGAGAAGACCTTCATTCGGATGACTTTGTTAGGTATTTGTTTCTCTAACATTACTTTATAAACACTCACTCAATATTCATTAGTGGAGTTGAAGACTTCACTGTTATCTTGTCACTATTTGTCTGTACATGTTCTGGCTTTAAAAGATAAGATATCACAACGTCTGTCTTGATTTTTGCTCTAAACCAGTAATTAATCGATGGAATGTGTCATGGTTTCAATCTTATTTACACACACACACTCACATATATATATATATATATATATATATATATATATATATATATATATATATATATATATATATATATATATCCGTTAAAACGACCGCATTGTTGATTTAATAGTGCAAACTTGATTGAAGGTAAAGGATTAATGAGAGGATATCATGAGGATAAGAGAACGTTAGTCATCATGGGACTGTATCTGGTGATGATGTCAACTCACACCCTGGAGAGGTGCGAGAGACGATCAGGGTTGGTGTTTACTGTCCTGGTATATAACTGTTTTGGCCACTAAGTACCCTGACCGCCCGCCACCGTCTGACCCAAGCACCGAACGTCGTCCTCTGGTCGCGTGTATTGTAACAATGGTATGACCCACAGAGATCTTTGGGCCAGATTATACATGCCTCTCCTTTATCTCTCTCTCTCTCTCTCTCTCTCTCTCTCTCTCTCTCTCTCTCTCTCTCTCTCTCTCTCTCTCTCTCTCTCTCTCTCTCTCTCTCTCTCTCTCTCTCTCTCTACTAGTATTATTATAATCTTATTATTATCATTTTGCTGTTTTAGTTACACCTAATTTATAAAGTTTTGGTTCGACTGGTTGTTAATTAGCCTAGCAATGTGTAGGTGAAATATTTAACCCGCTCTCAGGGCAACAAACCTCTCTGGACAGCTACATATGAGACGATGCTCGTCCAAGCTGTAGTTATCTCCAAGTGCCTGTTTACATATTTATCCATGTTACGGAATCTGAAAGCATTATCTTATCAATGTTAAATAATGTTTTTATATATAGTAATTGTGAGTACTTATAGGCCCTTAGGCAGTTTCAAGTTAGATATTTTGTACCATTGGCAGTTATTTGTATATTTAAAGTAGGCCAGGAAGTCTACCAGGAGGCCTGCATGTTCGGGGGATCCAAATAATATATTATTTGTATATTTTAAAAACATGAGGCCTGGTCAGGGACTGGGTCACGGGGACGTTGAGCCCCGAAATCATCCCAAGATAAGGTGTTGCTTTAGAATGGTGATATTCGAACACAGGGATCAACCGACGCACAGTTCGAATTATGTTCGAACATTCTCAGCCGTGAGTCATGTGCAAAGTTTTTTTTTTTCATTAATTGACGAGACAGCGGTTAGTTTAATGAGCATTAGGCTAATGTTTTGAGGCCAGAATTCATCTTGTGAAAATTTGGTCAATTCTTTCGTGTACAAATGAGCGCGTTCTCACGATTTGATAAGCGTCAAGTTTAAGTAGTTTTGCCTTACCAGAAGCGTAATTAAGCGAACCCATTAAGGACAATACGCAGTAGCCCTCCGAGGCGTCAGTATAACGGGGCTTTAAATTCCATTAAAGCACCGAAATTTTGACGCAGTGGTCAATATCGTTTAAATTAAGAACACGGTGATAATGAGTATTATTTTTTTTTTGCTATTTAGTCATCAATATTTATCAATACAAATGACCTTTGGAAAGACCTTTCACGCACCGACATAAGATTTTTTCCTTATCTTACTATCTCTGGTTACTAGTTAACCCCGTGGCCACTTGAGAAATATCTTGCGCGCCTCCCTGTACGACACAATAATAGTGTCGTAGCCGAGATAATCCACCATGCGCTCATTTTGATCCTTATCACAAGATAAGTGACATTATGTTCGTTCTGGCATCCAGGGAACCAGTGTAGATGATGACTACTGTCCAAACTATTCAAGTATTTAGGTTAGAAGGTGATGAGTAAGGTATGGCGATTTTGAGATAAGTTCATTCTCCACAGAATGTAGTTGTGAGGAGAATGAAGGTGACTAAGGTAGGGTAATTGTGAGGAGAAAGGTGGTAAGGAAAGGCAAGATAATTCTGAAGAGAAACTAGTGAGTAAGGTTAGTTCTGAGACTAAGTGTTTATACACGCCGGTATAAACATATCGAACTTGAAAGTAATATAAGAATATAAGAATAGATTGTTTGGTCCACGAGGAGAGGGTGAAGGAACGGTGCCTACCCAACCATTTGGACAACTGAGGATCGAACGCCGATTCTGTATAAATCGAAGCCGTCATCGTATCGATCAAAACGCGTATTCAGACAAGAAGGAGGTGCGTGCAATTCCTTATTTTACTAAGAACTCTGAATAATCACACCCAAACCGGAACGAACTTCAGTTAAGAGAAAATGGTTTAATATTGAATGGATAAACACGAGACTTAACTGTACGTCACACCCAGCTTTTCACATAGACGTGAATAATGTAAAATTCTTTCATTTAACCTGTTTGCGATGCGACTACAGGAAGTGCACGACCTGACGATAACAGCACGACCTGAAACGTACAGCCCAACCGCTTAGTGATCGCGTTAGAATGTCTCGCTTCAGGTTGCGAATGAAGGGAAATAGTCAAATACATGATCCATCGATCATAGGTAGTGATTCAGGTCATATTTCTTCTAGAAATTGTTTTAAATAAGTTGCTAGGCTCCATTCACCTGGGCTCTAGCAGACTTGAACAAGTGTGTGAGGCTGAATCTCTATAGACCGAGCTATTGAGTGGTCTTAATAAGAAAGTCGCTAGGTTTATCATTTGATAGAGGTACAGAATACAAGACAGGCAGCTCTCACAAACTGAACTACCTCTCAGATAGTCAAAGGCCTTCTGCCTCTTAACACAATGCTTTACTTCCAATCTTCTCGCCTTTGACTTCTCAATCTAATCTTATATATATTGACTTTCTCCACCATTTTCTTTTCACGACTCGATAACGTTCCAGGACGGACGGAAACATCGGCACTTTCATCATTTGCAGATGTCTGGGTTGGGCGTCTGGTCGAGTTAAATAAGAAATTGCAGTACATCTATCCATACAAACAAATCTGTACGGAGAAAATCTTGGAATGAACTTGGCTTAAGAGCAGGCGATGAGTCACAATAACGTGGCTAAAGTATGTTGACCAGACCACACACTATT